TTTCAGTAGTGAAGCGGTAAACCGAGTTAAGTCGATTTTGACTATTAGCCAGTTTTTGCTGAATATCTCGGAATCTAAGAGAGATAGCAAAATTTTTCTCATGACTTTTTTTATAACGCTCTATTAGCTCTACAAAAAAGGTCATGACAAAAATCTTTCTATCTCTTTTAGATTCCGAGATATTCGTCAAAAACTAGCCAATAGTAAAAAACGACTTAACCCGGTTTACCGCTTCGCTACTGGTTTTTTCTAAAACTTTTCGGAAATTCACGAAACTTTAGAAAAAATGCAGGAAAATGATTGCACTACAATGAAACTTTGTGACTCAGTCAACAATGATAAAACCAGAAACGCGATCCGATCAATAATCTGCCAGAAAAATGAAAAAAAAATGAATTTTGACCGATAGTACATTCTGAACGCTTTCCTTTTTTTATTCCTGTGCAGGACCAACAAAGCCCGGCGATTTTTGCCAACGTCCCGACGACTGTGACACCCTGCTCAGGGCCACATGCGAAGCCGGACAATGCAGGTGCTACCCGGATCATCGATACACCAATGAAACGAGGAATTGTGTTGAAACTCGAGGTATTTATCGTTCTCAGCGGGAATCGTTAAGATAAGAGGGTCAGAACGAGAGACTCATTTCTGTTAAATTTTCATTCTTCAGGCATTTATCAGCCCTGCACGTTTAATTACCAGTGCTATGACTCGCAGAAGCCTGACGCTCTCTACTGCCAGAATGGAAACTGCGCGTACACACCGAAATACCTCGATTCGGGTAAATATGTTGCTAATTGCTAATCGCTTCGTGTTTTTTGCGTTGTCAATGTTTCTCTAAATTTCATTTTTCTTCGTCAGCGGCAGCTTCAGGCTCCCCCGGTCTATCGTCCACTGCCGCCGGAATTATCGCATTGTTGACGATTTCCTTGAGCAGGCTGAATTACTTCTAGGATAACAATAACAATTCAATTCTTTGCATTCGTAATTAGGAAAGACAGACTGATGTTCACTCACTATCTATCCCCTGCATTATCTTTTAGTTTAACGAAACTTGGAATATTTCTTTCTATTTTTGAATTTCATATCTTGAAACTAAGATTGTGCAAAAGAGATGATTTTTTCTTGAACTTATTATATCGAAAAAAAAATACGAGTAAAAAGTGAAAAGTATCAGAATCTCTCCAAAACTTGTTCTTTATTTTACATACCTTTGTGTACGACATTAACAACTATTACCCACCACAATGTCTCGTGATTTAAATAAAGTACATCGATCCTCCGAGAAAATCATGAATTGACAGATAGAATTCAGTAGTGAAGGGGTAAACCGAGTAAAGTCGATTTTCACTAGCCAGTTTTTGCTGAATATCTCGAAATCTAAGAGAGATAGCAGAATTTTTCTCATGACTTTTTTTATAACGCTCTATTGGCTCTACAAAAAAGGTCCTGACAAAAATCTTTCTATCTCTTTTAGATTCCGAGATATTCGTCAAAAACTAGCCAATAGTAAAAATCGACTTGACCCGGTTTACCGCTTCGCTACTGAATCGAAAGTCCTGTGCTCTGTGACACCACAGTCACACGACTGCCAATCGAAGGGATCTTAGTGAATCATTTATCTACGTTAATCTACCCCACGAATTCATTTACTACTCCCGACCGGTTCTAACTGCCCCTGCATTATTGTATTAGTTTAACGAAACTTGAAATATTTCTTTCTATTTTTGAATTTCATATCTTGAAACTAAGATTGTGCAAAAGAGATGATTTTTTCTTGAACTTATTATATCGAAAAAAAAATACGAGTAAAAAGTGAAAAGTATCAGAATCTCTCCAAAACTTGTTCTTTATTTTACATACCTTTGTGTACGACATTAACAACTATTACCCACCACAATGTCTCGTGATTTAAATAAAGTACATCGATCCTCCGAGAAAATCATGAATTGACAGATAGAATTCAGTAGTGAAGGGGTAAACCGAGTAAAGTCGATTTTCACTAGCCAGTTTTTGCTGAATATCTCGAAATCTAAGAGAGATAGCAGAATTTTTCTCATGACTTTTTTTATAACGCTCTATTGGCTCTACAAAAAAGGTCCTGACAAAAATCTTTCTATCTCTTTTAGATTCCGAGATATTCGTCAAAAACTAGCCAATAGTAAAAATCGACTTGACCCGGTTTACCGCTTCGCTACTGAATCGAAAGTCCTGTGCTCTGTGACACCACAGTCACACGACTGCCAATCGAAGGGATCTTAGTGAATCATTTATCTACGTTAATCTACCCCACGAATTCATTTACTACTCCCGACCGGTTCTAACTGCCCCTGCATTATTGTATTAGTTTAACGAAACTTGAAATATTTCTTTCTATTTTTGAATTTCATATCTTGAAACTAAGATTGTGCAAAAGAGATGATTTTTTCTTGAACTTATTATATCGAAAAAAAAATACGAGTAAAAAGTGAAAAGTATCAGAATCTCTCCAAAACTTGTTCTTTATTTTACATACCTTTGTGTACGACATTAACAACTATTACCCACCACAATGTCTCGTGATTTAAATAAAGTACATCGATCCTCCGAGAAAATCATGAATTGACAGATAGAATTCAGTAGTGAAGGGGTAAACCGAGTAAAGTCGATTTTCACTAGCCAGTTTTTGCTGAATATCTCGAAATCTAAGAGAGATAGCAAAATTTTTCTCATGACTTTTTTTATAACGCTCTATTGGCTCTACAAAAAAGGTCCTGACAAAAATCTTTCTATCTCTTTTAGATTCCGAGATATTCGCCAAAAACTAGCCAATAGTAAAAATCGACTTGACCCAGTTTACCGCTTCGCTACTGAATTGAAAGTCCTGTGCTCTGTGACACCACAGTCACACGACTGCCAATCGAAGGGATTTTAGTGAATCATTTATCTACGTTAATCTACCCCACGAATTCATTTACTACTCCCGACCGGTTCTACCTGCCCCTGCTCCTTGCCCTCCTCGATGTTCCCCCTGCTCTCCTCCTGCCTCTCGTGCTCGCTGATGGAATTCATCTCCTGCTGCTCGAGGTCGTCGAGGTCGGGCTCCTTGTTGCCATAGAGGGCTGGGTACTCTGACATGCAGGTCTGCATAGTTTTGAAGGCGTCGTAGCAGTCTGAGCCCTTGGGCTCGGCTGTCGAGTAATGGAAGCAGGAGAAAGCGTCTCGGAACTCCAGACCACAAGGGCCTGTCGCCATTCCCCCCAGGCACGGACAGTTCCAGTTGATGTCTCCATTGGGGAGGAGCAGCCCAGGACTCGGCTCGGGCTCTGGGAGAGTTATCTTGCTGGGGCTCGCGTGGTCCTCTTTCGACGCGAAAATAATCGTGTCTTTGCCCTCTTTAACCACTGTTGGCATCTTGTTACAGCCGATCAACGGATTATTTACGTAATTGTCAGTGATTGTAGCCCCGACCGTTGGGTAACAAGCCGAAAGGACTCGCCGATGCCCGGTTTACGGTATAAATACAATTATCCTCCTCGTAAGTTCTTGCCAGTGTCAGGGATGATCGCAGTCTTACGTAATCTTGGGATGAGCAACGCACGATGAACCGGCGGGCTGTGGGGCTGTAGCGCAGGATGTCAATGCAACAGTCTGCTCCTTTCTCGCCGAATAGGTGCTTCAGGGATTGCGTAACATGGCTCTTCAGGAAGATTGGGCTTATCTCGCGGGAGGGATTCGATGGCAGCTGTCTGGCGAGAACAGTTTTGGGGATTAGGGGGGTTCAATTGAGCCTTTTTTTACTTCCGGGTCGTGTTTTGGGCTGCGGCAAAACATGACCCAGAATTCAGTAGCGAAGCGGTAAACCGGGTCAAGTCGATTTTTACTATTGGCTAGTTTTTGACGAATATCTCGGAATCTAAAAGAGATAGAAAGATTTTTGTCAGGACCTTTTTTGTAGAGCCAATAGAGCGTTATACAAAAAGTCATGAGGAAAATTTTGCTATCTCTCTTAGATTCCGAGATATTCAGCGAAAACTGGCTAATTGTGAAAATCGACTTGACTCGGTTTACCGCTTCACTACTGAATTTAAAAAAATGAATTTTCAAGTTCGAAAATGTCATTTTTATTGAAATTGTGAGTTATTTAGTGGAGAATACGGGTTTTTTGAGTGGGGATTTGTAGAGAAATTGGCAATTGCTTTTTACGTGGTGAAGGATACGAACGTTGTGGAATAGAATAGTTGAGTTCCTGTTTTGTGGATTTTTTAGGGCCTGAAGGAGGTGGGGAATGGGACAAAAATTATCGTTTTGCTTCGGTTTAAAGTTTAAAAAAAACCATCTGTTATTTTTTTACAGAAAAATGTGCAGGGGAGACTGGGGCAAATGGAGATTTCGAAAAAGGTACGAAGTGACCATTTTGCCACACCCTTCCCCCATTTTTTTATAAAAAAATGTTTTTTAGCAGAACGAAATTAGTTGTGAAACTCGATTGAAAAAAACAAATTTGGAAACTTCAAGTTTAGTTCCCGCATGTGAAACCGTTCTCAATTAATTAATTTCTTAATTAAGAAATTAACTGATTAAATCAATTAATTAATTAATTTAATTTAAGTAGTTAATTTATTAATTAATTTGAATTAAGAATGTAGTAGCTTCTGAAACGACTCGCATTTGCCATCTTCATCGTGCATTAAAAAATTAACACAAAAATGTAAATATGTATATCAATATATTTTGATTTGACCCTCTGATTGCCTTCGGCTGTAGTGTTTATAACATAATAAATCAATAAATAAATAATTAAATAGATAAATAAATAAATAAATGAATAAATTCCAAAATAATAATTAACAGAATCTGCCAGATCTTTGAATTTCTCAGTTTCATGGGGAATTCCCCCACAGAAAAATTAGAGCTATAAACCAAATCTCGATGAAAACGTCTATATCCCTTCAGAATTAGAGGCTCTGTTGAGAGAACCCAATCTTTTTCCGGTCACGTAACAATTTTTGATTTTTCAGTGGCTGATGAAATAGGGGGAGGGGGAGGGGAGGGGTGCATTTGCACGTGAAGTTTGGCTCGAGTGAGTTAGGTTAGAGTCGATGTTACGTTTGATTATCCAGGAGTGGAGTGTGAAAGGCGATTAATGTGTCGAATGTGATTAATACTAACAGAGATACGTCTAAGTATTGCATATCACTGCATTTGTCGAGAGTTGTTTCACTTTTCGGTACTGCCGGGGTGCGAGTTTATAAGGAAAGTAACCCAACAGAGCACTTTCTGGAACCCGTTGCGAGTCGAGGGAAGAAAAAATGTGAGGGACAAGGGCTAGTGTTTGTTCTGTGCACCAGGAAAACGGGAATCTGGGGGTTGTGGGGGCCCGTGTGTCAGGTGGAATCACTGAAGTTATTCGGGATAATAAAATTACCGATTTAATATGCCTGAGCCTGGAGAACCACTCGGTTTGGGACGGCGCGTGTCACTGGTGTGTGCCGCCATCTGAGGAACGATTCGTCGCCATCTTTCAGGGCATTCGACGAGTTCTTCGGTGAGTTCTCCTCGATTGATAGAAGGGGTTTCCCTTGGACCAACTGTGGAAATCCTCCAAGGTTATTTTTTTGTTATTATTTTGTTCTATTGTTGACTTATTTTTTATTTTTTATTTTTTTTAGGCACTTGTCCCTCTACATGTTGAAGGATGTGACAGCTATGGAAGGGAATCCCCGGAAATCGGGAGGAATCTGCAGAAGGTGATGGGGAGGAGGTGAGTGCAAGAATTTTTTTATTCATTCAGGAATATCTCTGAAATTAATGGTTTCATGGAAAAACATGAGAGGACATTTTTTTAGCTCACGGAATTTTCTTTAAAAAATGTATTTTCACATTTTTCTGTAAAACTCTTCCTTTTCAAGATATTTACAAAAAAAGATGTTTTCTGCAACAGATCAACTCGAGATTTAACCCAAATTATTTTGCGAATATCTCGAGAACTGCTCGATTAATCGAAAAATATCAGGATTATTTTTATAATAGCCCACAAAATTTCCTACAAAAATGTCTTTTACATGGGAATAACCATCGATATTCAATTGAGTCTTTCGAGCCCTTCACCTATCAACTCATTTTCCAAAATCACTCCCCCAAAGAATTTTCCTAAATTCGCACAGCCCCCCGCAATTCCCTGGCCTCCTCGTCGCCGAACCCCTTCTCAACCCCCTTAATTTCCAAAAAATCGTCCAAAAAAAAGTAACAGGGCTACGAAATTTTCACATTTTTCTGTAAAACTCTTCCCTTTCAAAATATTTATTTATTTATTCCCTGAAAATCCACAATGTTTCCTGGAACAAACAGGAAAGCTCGAAAATTCGCTCAAATTATTTTGCGAATATCTCGACAATTACTCGATTAATCGAAAAATATCAGGATTATTTTTATAATAGCCCACAAAATTTCCTACAAAAATGTCTTTTACATGGGAATAACCATCGATATTCAATTGAGTCTTTCGAGCCCTTCACCTATCAACTCATTTTCCAAAATCACTCCCCCAAAGAATTTTCCTAAATTCGCACAGCCCCCCGCAATTCCCTGGCCTCCTCGTCGCCGAACCCCTTCTCAACCCCCTTAATTTCCAAAAAATCGTCCAAAAAAAAGTAACAGGGCTACGAAATTTTCACATTTTTCTGTAAAACTCTTCCCTTTCAAAATATTTATTTATTTATTCCCTGAAAATCCACAATGTTTCCTGGAACAAACAGGAAAGCTCGAAAATTCGCTCAAATTATTTTGCGAATATCTCGACAATTACTCGATTAATCTAAAAATATCAGGATTATTTTTATAATAGCCCACAAAATTTCCTACAAAAATGTCTTTTACATGGGAATAACCATCGATATTCAATGGAGTCTTTCGATCCCTTCACCTATCAACTCATTTTCCAAAATCACTCCCCCAAAGAATTCCCCAAAATTCCGAAAACCATTCGCAATCCCCAGCGCCCCTAAACCCCCTGAATTTCCAAAAAATCGTAAACAAGTACCGCCGTAAATTTCTCCACTTCCAAAGGGCCCCATGACCAACTCCCCTTCATCCTCCCATTGTCCACCGGGTTTTAAATCTCCAGACGGATAAATAGACAACCGTCTCCACACAACTCCACAGCCACCTATCCATTTTAAATCCCCGATATTGCACCTTGCTTATACCTGAAACGTTAGCAGGGCGGATTTTCTTTAACGACCCTTTCTCCTCGCCACCCACTCGTACGCCCTTTCGTCCGCCCTATGTACAATAAACCGATAGGGCCATGAGCCCCTTGGCTACAGCCTCTCCACCATGTACATTACATTACGTACATAATGCGCACACATGTACATTCATATTGCACATGGAGAATTGTGCTCTGTTGAGAATTGTGCAGGAATGAAATGGAAGGCAGGTACCCGTATGTTTCCAAGCTTTTTCCCCCCATATAGAAAGGGGGGGAAAGGGGGGAGGAGATCGGATGGTCCCAAGAGTCGACTTCCGCAGGATACCCAATTAACTCTCAGCAGCCGTCGTCCTCATCGCACTGCATCCCCCCTGGTCCCCTTCCCATATACCTGCGAAAATGTACACAGTGCAGGTCCTTTTTCGGTTTATATTACTTCTTCGGGGGGATTTTTCGGCTCGGGTGAAAGGACGAGGGAACAATAGGCGTGAAAACGTGGTTGGAAGGATATATAAGTGGAAGATATATTTTGGGTTTGAATGGTTATATTTTTTCTGGATTTGTTGGGTATATTTCGAAAAAGTTGAGCTAGTCCACCTCCAGCTGTAGCAATTCTTATGGTTTTTACATCAAAATAATTCATTGCTTCTTTTATTTGGCGAAATCGTTTATATATAAGTAGAAGATATATTTTGGGTTTGAATGGTTATATTTTTTTTTGGGTTGTTGGCTATATTTCGAAAAAGTTGAGCAAGTCCACCTCCAGCTGTAGCAATTCTCATGGTTTTTACATCAAAGTAATTCATTGCTTCTTTTATTTGGCAAAATCGTTTATATATAAGTAGAAGATATATTTTGGGTTTGAATGGTTATATTTTTTTTTGGGTTGTTGGCTATATTTCGAAAAAGTTGAGCAAGTCCACCTCCAGCTGTAGCAATTCTCATGGTTTTTACATCAAAGTAATTCATTGCTTCTTTTATTTGGCGAAATCGTTTTTTCTTCAAGTGAATCTTTGATAATAACAAGGAAAATAGGAATATTTCCATGTTTGAAGACGACAACATCATAGATTGCAGGCTTATCTTTTCGGAAATCATTCTCATCGATATAACTTTTAGCTAGAAGCTCTTCAAAAATGGAAGGTCTCATTTTTAAATCCGAAGGCGAGTGCTAGACCCTCTTGAGGATTAAAGAACACTTTTCTCACGAGTGTCGAACCTATTTTTCATCGCTATACGTGCGTAAAATGTTGCTTTACACGCAAGTCATGAAAAATAAGTTTATGTCGAGAGGA